GCTCCTTCGCGGGCCTTCCTGCGGGAGAAGGGGAGGCGGTAAAGCGGGGCGCAAGGTGGAGAATAGCGTGGTGGAAGCGTTTCGGTAGCTCGCAAAAATGTTCATAACGGGTGTCCCCAGAGCGCGAAGTGTCCGTTTGAGATGCGGTGCTCCTCAGTTCGCTTAGGGTTCTGCGAATTTTGTGGGTCTGCGCTAACAGGTGAGGCGGGGGTGTCCTGCTGCGCACTTGCGTAACAGCACAGGCGAGCGCCAGTCGCGGCTGGGCTCGTTTAGAAGAAAAGAAGTCCTGGCACACCAGGCCAGAGCAAGCTCAGTTCAGAGACACCTGCGTACTTGTGTCTTGCAGTGTGCTTGTACGTGAAGTTTTCTTTGCAGAGAGACCTTGCAAGCTAGGGTGGTCTCAACAGTGTTTTGGATAGTCAAGACTGAAATCTTTGTTACTCTTGATGGCTGGTCAGCTTTTCTGTTTGCGGTGAGTTTTCATCAGAGCAGAGTTCTGGTTTCCGTGAACATCTGAACTCACAACAAATTGGCTGTAATAGTGCTGTAGAGCCAAGTTTCAACTCCTTACTTGTTCCTCTTTTTTTGAAGAGAACAAAGTGAAGCCCCAGAAGCTATCAAAACTAGTCTCAGGTGACTGTTGCTGGAAAATCATTTTGTTTGTGTATCGCCAGCTAGGTGTGCTGAAGGTTCCTGAGCCATGGGGTCCTCTCTGCTGTATGCGGTGTGAAGAGGCCAGGTGGGATCACTCTGCTGGCTTAGCTGCAGTGACTGAATTGCAAACTGACCCACACCCGTGTGTTCTGTACTGCTGTAGAAAGTGTCAGCTGCAGTAGCAGTACAGCTGGGCTGTGGTTTAAGATTATTTGTGCAAGTTTCTGGCAAAAGCTGTAGTTCTGTATTCCTCCTGCCTCCCTTGTGCCTGGTGCTTGTGAGGCTGCACGGTGAGCTGAGCCAGGGACCTTCTCTCTCCAGAAGTCAACCCAGGTTCTCATGTCAAAGGGATGTGTCCGTGGACCTGGTGTTTCAAGTGACTGCAGTGCTTGGCCCAGTGGACCGCAGGTGGTGTTGGGTGTACGTTAGGATCATGGCACTAAACCTCAGTTGCCTTAAAACCTAATTAAACAGCCCAAACTTTGCTCACTTCTGCGATTTTTTGCTGGTTAGGCTCAGCTTAGAACTGTCGCAGACCTACCCTAACCCGTGCTGGCCACATCTGTCCTGTACAGTGGAGACTTCTGGTCTCTCTGCAGCCTCTCATGAGGGAACGGGCAATGGTTGGTGGTGCTGCATCCCTGTTCCTTGCCCATTCTGTCAGCTTCTGGCTCCTCAAAGCGCTGTTGCTGGGACACGGTTGGGACCTTGCCTTTGGGCTGTGCGTAGACTGCCGGTTGGGTCTGGCCTGCGTGTGGGGAGCTGCTCCTCGATGGCTGGCTTTGCAGACCGAAGGTCGCTGGGGCGAGCAGTGCTGCGCAGGTCAAAGTGGTTGCGGTGTTGGGGAAACTTTTGAGCGTTCCTGGTGTCGCCTTCACTAATTTGGCAGGCCAGGCTTCACTGTCACTGTCGTGTGGTTGTACTTAGAAGTTTTCCGCATACATGAACCCAGTAAATCCAGATACCCTAGGAGAGGCTGGTGCAGAGCTAGACAGCCTGCACACTGCTGATGTTTTCTGTGCCTGTTGGGACCCCTGTGAACGCGCTGTAGACATCTCTCTGGTCTCATTCACAAATAATGTGTATGCTGGACAAGGTCTCAAACTTTTTTTTTTTTTTTTTTCGTCTCTGAGAAAAGCTAAAAATGGATACACAGAGGTCTTCATGAGGGGAAAAAAATGTGCTTTCTTTTAAAGCAGGTAATGTCCTTGAAATTATAGGTCCTGGAAGTTGTTCTGGTTTTGGCAGGTGAATTAGGTGGTACAGTTAAGAGGGTAAATCTTGCTCCAGACTTTTCTGTGTCCTCAGAGTAGCAATAGTAGCGTGGCTTAATGTCCATTGTGAAATTAATCTCGAAAAACATGGATAACAATTAGCCATGTTCCCAGACTGAATCTCTGCTAATGCCCAATTTAGACTGGTGCCAGTGCCTTGCTATTGCTGCCTTTAACCATCACTTCCATAACAACACTACTGCGTTTAGACAGCACCAGCTTTTGTCAGAGAACTATGTTTTTCTTTGTAGTTAATAGCATGTGATAGCAATCCCCTGTCTTCCTGCTATTTTAAAAAGTAAAACTTTCACATCAAAGCTTCATGATGTAATCTTTTAGCGAAAAAATGATTCGGTTGCAGAAAGGCTACATATTTTGAATAAACCATTGAATCAGTCTTGTTTCTGCCTTTAGCATTTATTGCCTTCATGCTATTCTGATGTAGAAAAACGCACGCAGTCAGCAGAGCTACTTGAGTAGTTGGGTTATTGAGGAAGGGTGCTACGCTTTAGAGTTTGGTTTAAAAATTCTGTTCTTGAACATGTAGTCTGAATGTCATCTTTATGCAGCTTTTGGGTGTATGCCAAACTAAATAGCCATCGAAGCCAGTGTAATGGAAGGAGATGAGGAAGTGGTATGTTTTTACCCTGAAGAAGTCAGTGGTCGCACTTCAGCACTGGCTGCCTGTTACGAAGTGGTGGTGTAGCTAGGGTAACATCTGTAAAGGTCTTAGGGGAATATTGTCGTAGCTGATAAAGGAAGGAGATTGGAGGGTTGTTTTTTTCCTTCTCTTTCCTGCAACATTAAGCAAATATCCTCACCTGAACAAAGCGGTGGGTTTCGTGCCAGAGCTTGATTCTTCTTTTTTCATAGACAGAAACCACTGAGTTCATGCACTGCAGTGATGGGACAAATCACCCTGAAGTAACTTCTAAAAAAAACCACTGATGTAAATACACTTAACTGTATGATTTAAATAATGCCATAATTGGATCTATGAAGTACGTAGCTGTTATAAGGCAACCACCTTGCATGTTAAAAAGAAAAAAGTAAATTAAAAGGTCATGTGTTCTGTCCAGCAAGTGCACCAGCTGTGCATTAATTGTGCATTAAAGATGAAGCTGTGTTTCTGTGAGGATAGGAAACAGCAGTTGGCTGGATGCTCACAGATGTCATTTCTTTTACTGAATGCAAACGTTTCTGTCTTGCTCTACTCCCCTGCAGGTCAGTGTTGACTGTTGCTTGTGAACAGACTGAAGTACTGCTTTTTGACCCAATATCTTCAAAGCATATCAAAACGCTCTCTGAAGCTCATGAAGACTGTGTAAATAATATCAGGTGGGTCAGAAGGAATAGGAGACATCGTATTTTGTCTTACCTTAGATGCTTTTCTTACAATGGCATGATATTTTTGTGTTACTGGCTTTCTTGGGGTTTTGTGAACTCATTAGGCTGCAGTTTGCTTTGTGCCATTTTCCTTCTCTTTGGTATTGGAGGTGGGGAAAGGCTGGAAAGGGGAAGAGGAGGAGTCTGAAAGTAGTGGTGGTGTGTAATGCTGGCAGGTGGTTTTGTTGATGAAAGAGCTGCAGTTTACGGGAGGGGAAGAGTGTTAAGGTATTGTCACCTGTTTTAACCAGCCTTTGGAATGCCCTGAATGAATGTGGTGAATCAAAGTATAACAAGTAGTGTGTGATTCACATTTCAAATGCAAGTGCGAGACTGTAGCAAGATCAGATATGAATATTGGTGGTATTTTGAATCGTAAGAGTAAGTGCCATAGCTGCATAGAAATTTCCAAGCAAAGACTGGCTGCTTTAAATACAGGTATGATATATAATTGCTGGGGAGGTGAAATGGCTTCCACAATTCAACTTAAGCTCAGTCTTTATGGTTTAAATCCTTGGCCTGTTTCTCAGGTTGAAGTGGGCCATAGCAGGTGCGGGAACCTAAATCATCAGTATTTTTGTCATGTAATTTTTTTCCTTTTAAATTCTATTATTATCGTCTGTGCTGGGTCTGAGGATAGACTTTCACTCATGAACCTAAGATGCTTTTTAACCTTGTGGACAATACTGCAGCCTGTCTTCACTCAGATTCTCAAAGCAAACCCAAACCAAAAAAACCCAAGAAAACTGTAGAAGCAATGTGAGCATTTCTTCGCAAAAGAGAGGAATAAAATGTGGGATGCCAATGTCTTTACACGTTCTTCAGATAAACTGATGTTTTTCACAAGCTGCCTGTCATTT